ATTCAACACTCAGCCAGACAAGGTCCAGGACAACCTGATCTAATTACACCTGCTACAGAGCAGAGGACTGATCCTCTCAAGGCTTTCCTTCCAACCTCAATTTGCATGATTCTGATGTTATGATGCTACAGGATATCGTGAGCATGCTTTCTACTTGCTCACTCACTGCACAATAGTCATTGACTGGACCCACCAGGAATTAAGACTGTTCGGAACAGACAAGCAGCTGCTCTCACCAGCTTCTCCTACTCTTCCTCCCAAATGCCACAAGATCACAAAATCTCGCCAAAGCACTTTATGAGCGGTGGAATTCTCATCAGCATAAAGCTGAGAAGTCCTGCTCTTCTATGGACCTTCAGCAGACTTGGACAGTCTGGTGACTGTTCTCAGCTCACATTCTCATTACCCTGAGTAGCTAAAGGAAGAACTGCACATCATCCCAAGACAGCCTTAAAACTTCTCACTATGTTTCCATCACATGTTAAGAGCTGACTCAACATAATACACAAGTAGCTTAGACAATGGCATCTCCTGTGGTGAGAGAAAAGACTAAGGGCAGGTTTTTATGGCTTATGAGTTTACAAGAAACCAGAGTGAGATCCACTGAATGTGTTTTGATTGTTGAAAGTTGGGGACATACTGTGGAAGATCTGTAAGTGCAAACACTTAAAAGTTAACTCTCATTTCCCAAATTTAAAATAAATCTTGAAGATAGCCTTATAGATTGCAGTGCTTATCATGACCGGATGCCAAAGAAAGCACCAGGAAGGCCAAAAAAATCTTGACCTTGTAATTACTAAAGTGATCACCACAAACTCTGCTTGCATTACTACTTCAGGACCTTGGATTAGTGGGTTTTCAACTGCTGTACAGAACCTTCTGGGCTCATAAGTTACTTCTGAAGGTGTAAGAAGTTCTTTACTGAGGGTGGTGAGACACTGGAATAGGTTGCCCAGGGAGGTGGATGCCCCATCCCTGGCAGTGTTCAAGGCCAGGCTGGATGGGGCTTTGAGCAACCTGGTCTAGTGGAAGGTGTCCCTGCCCATGGCAGGGGGGTTGGAACTAGATGATCTTTAAGGTCCCTTCCAACCCAAACCATTCTCTGATTCTATGATGAAATTATAAAAAGCAGTTTTATTAGCAGTTTGCCACACTAAAAAAATAATTCAAAGGACCTAAAGTTTGAAAAACACTCCCTTTGACAAGGAAAGTAGTTGCTTCATTTTTTTAATGAGAAGTTAGTGAATTCCACTTTCCAGATTTCCATGTACTCCCCCCCCCCAATAACATTGAAAACCCCACTTCTGAAGTTTATGCTGGTTCTGAAGAGCTGGTTTTCACAAACACTAAGATGAGATTTCATTTCTTTCACATTTGAGGTTTTCCAGGAATTATGTTAATATCCTGGATTATACGTTCTTTAAAACAAGGTCCATGACTGTATCTGACAAGTGCCTAGCATAGCAAGACAAAGTTACTAATGTTACAGAATTTCAGCATATTGTATCACATCCTGCTTGAAATTTAAATGCTAGCATATGACTCAAACACAATAACATCTGATAAAAGCCAAGTACAAAAAAAAATGAAGCCTTTTTCATTGAAGTCCAGGAAAACACAACAGTGGGAAAAAGTCTCGGTGCCCTTCCTCACATTATCTGCCCTTCCCGGAGCAGACTGGTTCACTGAACAGAACAAACATTAAAACATGCACTGTAGGTACCAGAAGGGTTATGAAGTTATTTGACTTCCAGCTTGATTCTACAGGCGCAGAAAAGATCACCGGAAGACACCGAGACAGGATTAGGAAGGGCATTCACCATTACTTTTTGCTGTAATTGCGAAACAAGGGTAGCAAAATGCCTGGCCCAAACACAGATTAGAATCTCCTCAGCTAGAAATGCAGTTAAGGAGAGCGTAGGAGTTGACTAAAAGCAAGACACACTTCTGTTTCAACCCACTCCTCCTCAGCTTATTAAGTCAGTGTTTATAACACCAACCCTCCTTAGAAATAAAAAGGGCACTAGGTGAACAAATCTGACTCCAAACAGCTAACAGTCACAGCTACTGTGGGTAGATTTAGTAAATACATAAGCATATTAATGGACTACATTTAACTTTCACCGTTTAGATTCTGACAATTTGCAGCCTCCTTCCGTAATCACAAAACAGTTAGGAACACAGTTCAGCACCAATGCAGATCTAAGCTACAAGGTTCAGGTTATTACAGAGAGTCTCAGTTAATAACAAAACACAGATTTACTGGGGCCCTCCAGTGGGCCCTTAATAAAGGAAGACCCTTTTCCTTATTCTTTCATGTTTTTAATGTTAACAGCAAATTTCTTTCCATTTTATAAGTACAGTGTGCATGGTACCACTGTTGTCTCAAAGTGACTTTCTGCTCTTTATACCTAAGCACATGGATTTATACATTTGCTCATTTTTAAATTTCATAGTTAGAGTCAGTAATATGCTTTTTAGTTTTTACAGGACAATAAAATTGCTTGCCAGAGGTTTTTGACTTAAAATTCTACACAGCAGATTGATGTAGGCCTCTTGATCATTCTTACCACATTTTTGCCAAGTTAGAATATAAAATATCTGTTCTACTAATTGCACCCAGGGATTTGCGTCCAATATCCAGATAGACTCCTAAAGCTGACTCTGTTTTCCCTTTGATCTTGCATATTCTGTTGCTTGAAAGAATACAGACAGGTGATGGAAAATGCTGGAGCTATTGAAACTACAACTGCTCAAAGACCAATTAACTCCAAAAAACCCCAAATGAACAAGAAGCCAAAATGGAACTAAACCCGCAACAGCTGGTGGTCATCAAGGCAGTTTTCCCAGAGGGCAGAAGACTGTTACTAATAGGATGGAAATACAAAATTTACTGAGACCAACTGTAACTGCTGATAACATATATTGAGGAATGCCTCATTTCTCACATTTTCTGTAGAGCAAGAGTGAAGCAGGACAGCAATCTTACCTTTTATTGGGGGGGGGTGGGGGGGGAGAGGGAACTGAAGCATAGTCCCACTGAACAATTAGTACCAGGAGCTGATTTTACACCACAATGCTATTTTCATCACATTTAAAAATAACATTCAGGTCATTCTACTCATAGAACTATGTTATTCCTCAGAATTTAATCAATGTAATACAGTTCATTAGGAACTGCCCACTGAGGTTCTCTTACATTTTACATTATTTCAGTCACTGCAGAACCTGGATGCTAGAACCCCCAACAGAAGATTAAATAAAGTTGGACGTTCTCCCTTTACAACCGCAGAGGTTTTGAGATGTTTCAATCACATTACATAAACTTACATTCCTCTACTAACACAAAACATACACTACTTGCCACAGGAGACAAATACTTCTTATGCTGTTTCCAGCCAATGATTTTAACTTCAAATCCAGAGTAAACATAGCCTCTTCAGAGCTGGGAACATGTTTGTGTGCAAGAACAGCCTGCTGCGGTACAGTGATAACAATACCTATTAAAATCCACGGCACATACCGAAGAGGCACATATGCAATGGCCATTACATTCTTTGACATGGTACTGAAAGAATGGTCAGTTTCAAAAGTTTGGAGAAGCTGAAAAGTCAGGACTTGTTTACACTATCACCAAATAATACATACTGAGAGGCAGAAAAGCTATTTTCATTCAGTGATGATTCATTTGCAGCTCATTCATAAAAGTGAGGGACTCCCAAGAACCAAGAACAACTGTTCAAAAGCACAAGCATAAATTATCATGCATCTATTTATTATTTATGATCTGATTTATAATACAGATGAAGCAACAGTGCTAAATAGAACAATTTATCATTCTGCCTGGGCATTTGTTTTGAATGTGGTTCTTTCAGTGCCTTGGTGATGGTCTTCCAGAAGATGGCTGAGGCTGCCTGAATTTTGAGAGAACCACAACAGAATCAACAAAGGTATAAATGTTATATTCATGATGCTGAAGGTTCTTGTAGGTAGAATTATCGAATTCTTCTGGAGCAGGCTCAGCAGCTGCTGTGGTCTCTGTGAAAACAAACAGTAACCAGTGACTATAAGGATGCCACACCAGAGGGCAATATTCTTAATTACTGAGCGAGCCTTCATATACTGGCAGATCCCTCATCCAGTCAACATTAATTAAAAAAAAAAAAAAAAGAGAAAAAAAAGTCAGCAACTATAACAGAAGGATAAGTTTACTAAGTTCTGCTGTACCTTGTCTGGTCCTAAAGCAGCATATTAGTATGCAGTAGGGGAATGGGAATCAGTACAAGTCATCTAATACAGCATGGGTTTTAAAATCCAAACTACCACCTAATGCTGGGGGTGGATAGGGCAGAACATTTCATTTAAATTTTGAAGACATATGTCTGCATTTCCCAGCTTTTTCATAGTTGCCTTGGTTTTCATTCCAGCCAGAACAGTAGGTGACATTCTTAGTAAGCCAGGAGAGGCAAAGCAGCAGTACAAATGATATATCTTCATGTCAGACCATGAGATACAGCTATTAGAACTACTCTACAGATTGAATTTTTTCCATGGGGAGAAGTGATGGAATTATTGAGGTCTCCACAGTTCAATTTCAAATGTGGTTATACTGAACAGTAATATATCAAGAGCCTTTGATGTAAATTTCCTTTCTTCTAAATGTAATCTTCTAAACTTTGTATCAGCTCTTCTTCCTAAAAGAATAACTTAATGAAGTTATTCAGAACTCCTTACTTCACATTAAATCCAACATTAAATCTTACACTTTTAGAATATTATGCAAATTTAGGCAGTACCATTTACATAAAAGGTTCCTGTTACAGACTGATTTTACAATCAAGGAAATTGCAAGAAATAAAACTTTACTCCCAATATTAATTTATTTTCATATACCCAGAATTTTAACAACAGGAAAGACATAAGCATAATCTAGTTAAAAGCTTCATCATATAAATCTGTATGTAGTGGTTTAGGTTAGACTGTATATTAAGCTTCTTTTTGTAATACAACCATCTACAATAAAAATACAAGAACTCAAGCAACTGAACACCAGAATTTCCCTTTAATTGTGACATAATTATTGCAGTGTAGCAGTACCAGTTTAAGAACATGTATCCGTAACATTTAGCAAGACTTGCTTATAAAATGCAATGTATTAAGCCATGGTTTCAGCAAAAGAACACACACAACCTATGAAAGGAAATATCCCTGTGCCTACTGCTTACTTCCTACTGAGACAGCTCATAGGAGACAACACTACAGATATAAAAGCCAGATGATGTGGTCTTTGCTGCAAATAGCCCCAAGAACAGGCAAGCGTAGGCAAGTGTACATTCAACCTGCAAGAGACAGTTGTTCCAAATTAAGAGACAGATGCTCAGGAAGAAAAGCAGATGGAGTCTCATTTTTCCTGCCCAAATACACTGTACTTGGCTTCTCGAAGGAAAAAATTTTCCCTGAGTTCATCCTCCCCATACTTCAGACTTCATCTATGCTTTCTGTCTTAAAGAGCAAGCATTTCACAGGATGTTCTCCCAAAATGAATCAGAGGTATATTTCTGAGTTACCATGCTACTATTTTGCTACTTACTTAGCAGTTAAAGTCAGTTTTTGCTGACTGGTTAGCATGCCTGCTCTACAAAGTGGATGACATCACCTTAACATCCAGGTTTGTAATGAGAAAAATTGCTTTTACATCTTCAGTGTGCCTGCTGCAGAGTTTGCAGATGAACAAAAGAACACAGGAACAGGACAGAAGCAGAATACAGAAGGTATCATTATCTGTGAACATTAAATATGGAAAAGCAGTAGCTGTTCTCAAAGGTGGCCTCAAAACGAAGAGAGAACAAGATAGTCCTGGAGATACCAGTGACACTGTTGAACATGGTGTAGCTAGGTTTGACTTTTTGCCACCCTCTGGCACCCAAAGACATTACACCAGCAGTAAAGGGGTGTGAACTTGCCTGTACTAACCCCCACCTCTCCTACAGCCACTGCAACATGGTTCTCTAGCACGTACCAAACAGAAACTTTCCTGCTGTCACAGTCTTACCTACCTCCACAGAGCAAGAGGAGCTCAACAGCAAGGGCTGCTTTCAGCAAAGCCAGGTCCTTCCTACCCGAAAGGGTTTTGCTGGTGTGGTTATGATGACAATGGGTCTGAGGCACAGTGGTACTACTGCCCCATCACTACAGATCTACAGGAAAAGTTTGTCACCCGGGCTTAACCTTATTCTGGATTTACAGCATCAGAGTAGAGGAGGCCATTTCATAGATTTTCAATGTATCATAATCTTCACCTTGAATCATTAGCACATATTAAGACCAAGTCCTCCATATCATACTTGAAATTAACTGAACTCATTTTTTGGGTCTTCATATCAGCTTCAATGTGGGGGAAAAAAAAAAAAATGCTTGAGCATCTAGAACTCCACTGTGGATGAATGGGGAGAAAAGCATCATCTGTAGATAAATACTAATGTGTTTCGCCCCCTCCTTTTCTTTTTTTTTAAAGAAAGCTTCTGCTGCTGACTGCGACGAGGAACAAGTAAGTGAAAATGTCACTTGCAAACACTGCTGTATTTTACCATTTGAGTTGCAGTCAGGGAAGAAGGCAAGCTTAGCTTCCAACTCTTAAAACAGATCAAATTATGAGCCAACTAACCCCTTAAAACAGAAGGCAGGTCTTTTACTCAATACTGTATCCTGAAAACCGATGTACAAAAGCAATTAGTTGTCACTTAACCTGGTTAGACTTGTCACAGAATGGTTGAGGTTGGAAGACACTTCTGGAGGTCATCTGGTCCAACCCCAAATGCTCAAGCCAGGTCAGCTAAAGCAGGCTGCCCAGGACCATGTCCAGACAGCTTCTGAATGTCTGCAAGGATGGAGACTCCACCACCTCTCTGTACAACCTGCGCCAGTGCTCCATCACTCTCACAGTAAAAAAAAGTGTTTCTTGATGTTCAGGCAAAACCCTGTGTTTCAGGTTGTACCCACTGCCTCTTGTCCCACCAGTGGGTACCACTGAAAAGAGTCTCACCTCTGTCTTCTTTGCACCCTCCCTTCAGGTATTTAACATACATTGATGATGTCCCCCCCCGAGTCTTCAATACAGCACTCCAGGTGCATCTCACCAGGGAACGATCCCCTCCCTCGGCCTGCTTGCAACACTCTTCCTAATGCAGCCCAGGTTACCATTGGTGGTCTTTCCTGCAAGGGCACATTGCTGGCTCACGTTCAACTTGCTGTCCATCTGGACATCCCAGGCCTTTTCTGCAAGGATATCATTTGAAGGATGATATCCAAGCAGTTTTACAATTATGCTGCTTTTACTTCCAAGTAGGCAAATTCTTTAATTCAAAACAGCAACCAGGAAGGGGATCTTAAAATGGTATGCTGCCTAAGTTGAAAGGCAACAATGGTAAGCCACCGCAGTTCAGGACAGAGGGGCATTTGCTACTGAAACACATAGAATGAGATCAGTAGGTAAGTTAACAGGACTGGTAGTCAATAAGGCTAAGTTAGACAGGGAAGTATAGCTAGGGAAATGATTATATGATGCATGATGCTCATTCCTAAAACATATCACTGTCTCCTCCCCAACTCACTAAAAAAACTGGGTTATAAGGTCAACTCTGTGCTACTTCAACATGACTCGCTTACAACCTACCAATCTCAGAATCAATACCTGTTACTGGCATTACACTATGATTTCTTGAAGTCTACTGAAATCTGAAACACTGCAAGATATATATATTAAAAAAAAAGGTAAGAGAAAGACAGCAGGATTTAAGCAAAAATCAAATGGCATCAAATTTGGCTCAGGAGAAAGGCAGCTACCAAATCCTCCCAAGAAAAGAGGGAAAACAAGTTTTGTCATACAAACCCCATCATTTTGCTCACAGTGGAAACAATCTTGGCTTCATTTTATAAGTAACTGGTTTATGAAACTAAACACAGTGAAATGAAGACCGCTTCCTTTCTCAGCATAACTGGAAACTGAGTATTACTGAGCGCTTATAACAATTAGCAATGAACAAGAATTTATCTTCCAGAAAGTCACTGCTACATAGTTAGCTTCAGTATAAAGATCAGAGAATCATGAACAGAGAAGACTTAGAAACCCTTTAAAAAAAGTTAAACCCTAGCCCAGATGAATCAATACATTTCAAACAATTTAAAGTTGTACCCTCAATTGTGCTTCTTTCTCCATCCTGGACTCCTGTGTCCTGAATGGTCTCCTCCTTTGCTGTAGTGCCCATCGCTGACACTGTGCTTTCAGAAGTCTCCTCTTCTAGTTTAGGAGCAGCTACTACTTCTGCTTCTGACTCCTGTGCCTCCTTCACCTTTTTTTGTTCTCCTCTGGATACCAGTTTTTGCTTTTTGTCTTCCTGAGTCACTGACGAAGCTTTCAGCTGAATAGCTGCTACTTGTGTTCCAATGGACTTTTCCTCCAAATAATCAGATTTATGAGTCACATCGGTCAGGTCTTGGCTGTCAACCATGTGTGGGTCTAAGACCAGCTTCTGCCGATCTGCTTCTTTTGGAGTTGATTTTACTTTGGGGTCTCTTGCTTTGGATTTTGATGTTTCATGGCTAACTGATGTTTTAGAAAATGCGACCTGCTTGACAGGAGACATATCAGTTTCTGTTTTGCATGGCTTCTTCTTAGCTACATATTTTTTGTGGGATTTCTTGGACAAGTTCTCTTTTGCTAGCATTGATGCCTTTACTGCTATGTTCTCAGAAAACATGGAATCTCGTCTAGGAAACTCAACTTTGGTTTTAACAGCAACTTCTGAGTCATCATCATTTTCTTGCTCAGAATCTGAGCTAGAATCTGAATCTGAGCTGGATGAAGATGAAATTTCTTCCTCAACTAACTCTTTCCTCAAGACTCCTTCTGTTGCAGGTGTAGTGAGGTTTTCCTCCTCAAGGGAAGAAACAACTACTCGCTGAGGAAATGCAACCACAGTTTTTCTTGACATGAACATCCTCACATCTTCAGCAGAAGGTTTTGAAGCTTTCTCAAGGTTAGTACTAGATATGCTCTCACCTTTGTTTGCAGATACTAGGAGAGAGCTGGAAGACAACATTTTAGGAAATTCAACTGGTGCCTTGATGGCTAGCAGCTTGGTGCTTCCCTGTGGTGCCACTACATCTAGGAAACGGCATAAAGAGGATTATCATCATTATATCTGACACCACTGTTAATTAGTGATCTTAGTCATACAATTTTAACTTTCTGAGATAATCTAGTACAAAAAGCAAATTGAAAGAAGTCATTATACTAAATACAGGCATTATGAAGCAGAAAGTTTTAAGACATTTTAAGAAACTAGAGTTCTAGTTAGCACTTAACAGTTTTTGCTGCTGCGATGCTGAAACTCCCAGACTCTTTGCAAGAGCTGTTTTTCTCTGTGCTTCAATTCTGCATCACTGAAAATGGTTTACAGACACCTTCCTATCTCAGATGAACATTAAGATAGCTTGTTAACCGAGCTCTTCAAATATGCTGCTTCAGAGATAATATTTGTATATGAACAAGCCAGCGAAGCAGAAGACATAGTAAACAGTCATAGCAAAAGCCAGCCTCTTGCAGTAGTTATCTTTAAAGCAGTAGGAAGGGATGACTCCCAAGAGACAAAGTAGCGGAATAAGAGATACCTGAGGCCATACATGAAAGTATTACTTGTTCACGCATCCATGTGACCTACCAACTGAATTGTGTCTAACACAGTTTGACATTATTTCCCCAAGACCTTATCTCCTCCAGTCTTCACTGTCTCCACTTCCTATTTTTGGTTTGAGATTTCTATGTAAAAAAGGTCTCAGAAGATCTCCTAATGCTTCATGTTAGCCTGCCTTTATTTCTTCTCCCTCATGGATACTTTCATTAAGCTCAATTCTCCAGACAAGGAGCCAACAGCTGAAGAGAAAGTAGCAACTTTCAGGCCCCTTCAGAGTACCAAATACCCCTTGGATGCTTGTGCCAATGCTATCCTCAAGAGGCTGATCAACAGCAAATACTGTTGTGGCTACAGAAAACAGGAGGACTGGGAGCACATTAGGAAGACACACCACCACTGAAGTTTGCTATAGCAAAGCCAACTCCATTATGAGTTACACCACTTCCAACCAGCAGTGTAATTCAACAGATTTCCAGTCTATGGTGCAGATTTATCTGCACAGTTTGGAAACCCAAATCTACTTTACAAGACCATAAACTAGATGTAGTTTTCCCCCTTACTAGTATTTTACAGTAATACCTTGTATGATCCAAGGAGTTACTGTAATTAGTGCTGAATAGAAGCAAGTCTTTAGCAACATCCAAATGAAAATACAGAAGAGACACATGAAATTTAAAGTATTTAAGAAAGAAATACAGAGTTCTTAACATAGGTACAAGTGAAAAAAAAAATCAGTTTACTGTACAGGTAATACTTTGAATAATTTCAAACACATACTTCTCTCTGCCAGATGGAAGGTGCAGGGTGGGGAGGGAAGTAGGAGGATGGGCAGCCACCTTTGAAAGAAGCCTGACTCCCTCCACAGACTGACACAGCCAAACAGCAGCCCGTATAAACTAATACGTGAGGAAATATCACTCAGGATTGAAGAGTTCTTCAAAGAAGCATACAGGAAGGTCAAACTAACACAACAATGCCCAAAGGGATGACAGACAAGTGAAAGCTGAGCAAAAGCTGAAGAAGCATTGATGTTAAGATATCCTAAGAAACCAAGAAGGCAGGTAACATTCAACTTGACCATTAACAGTAGGTGTTACCAGAAAAATTCTTTAAACAGTAATATTTGGATATGTGAAAAAGATACATTTCAACTTTTAATCATAAAGTCTAATACAACTGGTACAGACACTTTAATTAGGGTACTTCAAACTCTGTACCACCTGATCTGTATTTGAATCGCTTTGCCAAAAGAACAACACATTCAAATCAGTAACAAGGATATTATTCCCAGATGCATTCTTACTGATGCTTGTAACATCAGTATCATTATCGGAATGTGTTTAAAACATGTTTGCACTCAGAAAGGTGGCATGCGGAAATTACAGCTCTATTCCCCATCATTGACTTCGTAAGTAAACACAACCATTTTATTAAAGCAAAGCAAATTTGCACACCCTGTTGCAGGCAGAATCTGAAAAAGACAGATGCATCCTATACACCTTAACTAACCTTAACCATTTGCAGGGGAAGCAGCTGGCTGAAAGAGGTGGCCTAAGAGGTCTCCTGACACCTTGTGCAATCAGAGCTGCAGGACAATGAATCTAGAAGCTGATGCTAAAGTACATCTCAAACACACTTAAAATAATGAAAAAAAAAATTATAAAAAGCAATTTGTTATTCAGTCAAGCTTATAGCAATCTATGCAGCAACGGCTTCCTTAATGGAACAACCAAGCTTTTATTTGCTTTGGAGTTTAAGAAGCTAACATTAGAAGCCAGAAGTCTGCATTCAACTACTATTTCAGTGGTCTTTTCAGCAGCTGTCAGCAAGTCTGATCACTCCTATGTATGGTTCCATGGAGCTTTGCTTTTTAAGCACCTGCATCTCTAATTTGGGATGGGAATCCTACTCACTGAATCAGTGAGCCTCTATTTACAAACAGCATTTTGCAGAAGATATCCCTCTTTGAAATTCGTATTAATGTTTTGACTTTAGTCAGGGACAGAAGGAGTTCAAATACTTCTGAATGTCAAATGCACTGCAGCATCCAAACCCAGGTCCATGTATTGACTTGCCTGCAAACCTATAGGGCAAGAAGCATTATAACTAAATTTAACAGAACAGGGCCATGGTAGTTTGCTGCAGCTTCTCAACACTGTTGCCTGGAGCAGATAGTCAGATCTTGCAAGTCTTTCTCTCTTTCTGTAAAATGGGACGCTTTTTGACCCTCATAATCCAAACATTTCAAAAGACAAGGGGGAGTATCTGAAGTTCAAAACCAGATTTTGCACCTCATTAAAAAAAGTAACTTGCTACACTCATTTCCACCAAATTTCAGGCAATTTGCAAAGCTTCTTTTTATTAAGACAAATGTAATGATAGCTCTCCTTAAGTCTGATCAAGCATCACAGCAGCTAGCATATTAAATTGAAGGTAAACAGGAAAGAAGTGTCAAACTCACAGTATGGCCTATGAATATAAATATATCCCAAGCAGACCCAGTCCTGCCAGACCTTTACTTTTAGTTTTCTTACTACGTAGTACATTTCAACAGAAATCCTTGTTTACATCGTGATGACCTTTCACTTTCTGGGCTTACATAGCAGCTGTTCAGAGTCACGGCTGTGAGCATTTCTAAGCTCTTCTTGCCTACGTTCTCACCAACAAGGAGGGGCTGGTGGGGAATGTGATGCTCAAGGGCAGCCTTGCCTGCAATGACCATGAAACAGTGGAGTTCAAGATCCTTAGGGCAGTGAGGAGGCCACACAGCAAGCTCACTACGCTGGACTTCAGGAGAGCAGACTTTGGCCTCTTCAGGGATCTGCTTGGTAGAGTACCATGGGATAAAACGCTGGAGGGAAGAGGGGCCCAAAAAAGCTGGTTAATATTCAAGGGTCACCTCCTCCAAGCTCAGGAGCAATGCATCCCAACAAAGAGGAAGTCAGGCAAAACCACCAGGAAGCCTGTATGGATGAACAAGGAGCTCCTGGTCAAACTCAAACACAAAAAGGAAGCCTACAGAGGGTGGAAGCAAGGACAGGTAGCCAGGGATCAGGTTAGAAAGCTAAAGCCCTGACAGAATTAAATCAGGCCAGGGACATCAAGGGCAACAAGAAAAGCTTCTGTAAGTACACTGGTGATAAAAGGAAGACTAGGGAAAATGCGGGCCCTCTCTAGAAGGAAACGGGAGACCTGGTTACCTGGGACATGGAGAATGCTGACGTAGTCAACTTTTTTACCTCAGTCTTCACCGGCAAGTGCTCCAGGCACAGCACCCAAGACGCAGAAGGCAAAGGGACTGGGAGAATGAAAAACCACCCACCGTAGGAGAAGATCCGGTTCGAGACCATCTAAGGAACCTGAAGGTGCACAAGTCCGTGGGACCTGATAAGATGCATCTGGGAGTCCCAAGGGAACTGGCGGATGAAGTGGGTAAGCTACTATCCATCACATTTGAGAAGTTGTGGCAGTATGGGGAAGTTCCCACTGACTGGATAAGGGGAAACATAACCCCCATTTTTAAAAAGGGGAAAAAAGGAAGACCTGGGGAACTACAGACCAGTCAGTCTCACCTCTGTGCCCAGCAAGATCATGGAGCGGATCCTCCTGGAAACTATGCTAAGGCACATGGAAAATAAGGAGGTGATTGGTGACAGTCAACTTGGCTTCACTAAGGGCAAATCGTGCCTGACAAATCTGGTGGCCTTCTACAACAGGGTTACAGCCTTGGTGGATAAGGGAAGAGCAAAGGATGTCATCTACCTGGACTTGTGCAAAGCATGTGACACTGTCCCACACGACATCCTTGTCTCTAAATTGGAGAGACATAGATTTGATGGATGGACCACTCGGTGTGTAAGGAATTGGCTGGATGGTTGCACTCAAAAGAGCTGCAGTCAATGACTCAATGTCCGAGTGGAGACTATCGACTAGTGGCGTTCCTCGGGGGTCAGTATTGGGACCAGCGCTCTTTAACATCTTTGTCAGTGACATGCACAGTGGGATTGAGTGCACCCTCAGCAAGTTTGTGGATGACACCAAGCTGTGTGGTGTGGTCAACATGCTGGAGGGAAGGGATGCCATCCAGAGGGACCTTGACAGGCTTGAGAGGTGGGCCCATGCAAACCTCATGAAGTTCAACAAGGCCAAGTGCAAGGTCCTGCCCATGGGTTGGGGCAATCCCAAGCACAAATACAGGCTGGGGGATAAGTGGACTGAGAGCAGCCCTGACAAGAAGGACTTGGGGTGTTGGTTGACGAGAAGCTCAAGGTGACCCAGCAATGTGCGCCTGCAGCCCAGAAAGCCAACTGTATCCTGGGCTGCAGCTAAAGAAGTGTGACCAGCAGGTGAAGGGAATCGATTCTCCCCCTCTACTCCACTCTCATGAGACTGCCCCCGGACTACTGTGTTCAGTTCTGGGGCCCCCAACATAAGAAGTACATGGACCTGTTGGAGCGAGTCCAGAGGAAGGCCACAAAGATGATTAGGGGGCTGAAGCACCTCTCCTATGAAGACAGGCTGAGAGAGTTGAGCTTGTTCAGCCTGGAGAAGAGAAGGCTCCTGGGAGACCTTATAGCAGCCTTCCAGTACCTAACAGAGGGCCTACAAGAAAGCCAGAGAGAGATTTTTTTACGAGGGCATACAGTAATAGGACAAGGGGTAGTGGCTTTAAACTGAAAGAGGGTAGATTTAGATTAGATGTAAGGAAGAAGTTCTTCACTGTGAGGGTGGTGAGGCACAGGTAGAGGTTGCCCAGAGAAGTTGTGGATGCCCCATCCCTGGCAGTGTTCAAGGCCAGGTTGGATGGGGCTTTGAGCAACCTGGTCTAGTGGAAGGTGTCCCTGCCCATGGCAGGGGGGTTGGAACTAGATGATCTTTAAGGTCCCTTCCAACCCAAAGCATTCTATGATAACCAGAGGGACTTGAACTTCAGACAGGCACTCCCCGGTCCAACAGGCAGATAAACTTTTATGGTCTGGGCACCACCACAGGGTGCAGAAGGCTCCCAAGGCCGGCAGGCTGCAGGGGAAGGCGGTTCGCTACCCTGCTGGTTTAGCAGCAGAAAACAGGCTCTGCTACGAGCAGCTGTACGCCCGTTTGCTTTTATTTACAACACCCCACCACCGCTCAGCACGAAACAAGCATCTTACTCGTCGGCGGCGTCCGGGAGCCCACCGGCTTAGTGCAGAGCGCCGCGGAAGGGGCCGCTCCTCGCAGGCCCCGAGCCTCCAGCCGCAACACCTGCAAGGCACCATATAAAAGAAATGAACGAAACGGGACAAAACCCTCTCTTGGGTACGAGGGTACTTCCTCCAACCCAAGGCGCATGCGCGCAAACGCCGCCAGTCCCGCCCGCTGTCCTGCCCCACGCATGCGCACCTCCCCTCCCCCGGGCCCGGTGCGCGGGCACCGGCCGCCTCGCCTCAGGCGCACCGGGCCCGGGGGAGGGGAGGTGACCGGCTGGGTACGTGCCACCGAGAGAAGCCGAGCAACCCCACAGGGGTAGAGGCGGCCCGAGAGAACTCTTCCCTGCCCTTCTACCCCCCGCCCCGCTCCGCCCGGAGCCCACCCTACCCCTTTACCTCACGAGTCGCCGCTCGGCCGCAACCCAGCAGCGAGGGAGCGGCCATCTTGAGGTGGGCGGGGTCTAAGCCGTGAGGCGATGGCGGACGCCGTTAGGCGGGGGGAGTGTCGTCAGCGGGGTTGGAAATGAAATAGGCAAGTTCGTCTCTCCTGAGCGGCCTGACGGGGGCTTGCGTTACCGCTTCAAACGCTTAACGCAGGACAAAACAAAGTATTTTCACACAGAGTCGCCGCTTTTACGTTAAAAGCGGTCATTCTCTGCAGCTGCACCCCGAGCGCTCTCTGGCGCAGCCCCGTCAAACCCCCCCCCTCCCCCCGACGGCGCAAGGCGGGAGCGACCACCCCAACCCCGAGGCGCACCGGGAGGCGTACGGCACAGCCGCTGCCGTGGCCGCCGTCCCCGGTTCCCCTCAGCCCGCTTTCCCCTCCGGCCTCGGGGAAAGCCGCCGCCGTGACGCGCCGCGGAGCGGACGGACGTTCCCTCGCCGGTTCGCCCCCGCGGC